GTCCTTCGAGATAAAACATAAAACGCAACCAGTTTTTAAACGAGTACAGAAAATTCCCAACGATATGCAAATTATCGTAAGGTAAACCTGTGGAAAAACAAAATGCAAAAAGTAAAACAGTCTACAAAGCAACAAAACTGAATCAGAAAAAAAAAAACACAGAGACTTCGAGTTAGCTTTATCACAAATTGAACAATGTTGCTTTAACTAACTCGCCTTTTGTTTGCTTCAATTTATGCAAAGAACTCTCCACTAGTTTCAGCAGAGGTGGGACTAAGTCAGGTCTATGAGTAAGGACTTTAAAGCCATTCCATATATATAGAAGCTCCTGATGATAAATGGAGAATTAACATTTTCCATAATTAACAGACCAACTGAAAGAGCAGCCTCGTGTAATGTTCTTTTATCATTTTGAATTATTACCAAAACCCTAGTTTAGAATGTGAACACAACAGATGTAATTGGAAAACAAGCCTGTAATTCATGTTAAGCTCGATAATCGCAATAAGTTTTAAACGATTCCGTCCATTGCCATCCTTGGTAGTTCAAGATTTATTTTTGCCTCTTTCGTGTTTTTCTCTCTAACAGAAGTAATTAAGAACTATTCACCGAAGTAGTTGTTTTAGAGTTACTGACACAAGTGAGATAATATAGCAGAAAAGACGATTCTAACTCATTCACTTCAGCCGCGATCGATTAATATATTTCGAGAACAAATCCAGCACGAGTAATTCGAAGGTGAATAGCAATGTATATGTGGAGTTTGTGTAGTTAATCAGAGCGGGCCTTTAACGCCAATGTTTTAATCCGTGGAAACATTTTTTTTTTTGGTATCACATGACCCAAACGGTTCCATGAGCGCTTTTATTCAAAAATGGCAAGAAAAGATTCATGCATGAGGGCCGAAAGCAACGGCGAGAGAAGGCCTGAAAAGTCGTATGGCCCCAGGAGATGCAAAATGCACGAAGAATGTAACAAAGAAAGAACGGCAATCGTTTGATAAAATGATTATTGACTCAGTTGTCGCGAAGCTGATTAAAAATATCCTACACAGATCACGCTTTAAGACTGCACCGAGCAAGTTTGGACTTACCACTCCAGGCAGAAAAAGGCGGCCATTTTGTTCAAAATACTTGTTTGCCTTGTGGATGGCGAAGTCTTCAAAAGGAAGAGATTGACCGGCGATACGCTGCTTAAAATCTGGAAGACGTCTTAAAAGTTAAAACAAATTAAAAAAATTAGCTACAGAAAGAAACAAAAAAAGGAATTATGGGGAAAATGGGACCT